CCAGTGAGGTGGCCAAGGACCGAGGCCCCGTCGAGGAGCGGATTGGCCCCACGGGCGGCCCCCCCGCGTCCATCGCGTGCCAGCAGGTCCCGATCACCCAGCAAGCCCCGTCGTGGGCCCGTGGGTTGGATGGGGGGCATGGCACCGAAGAGCTCGCGTCGGGGTCCCTGCTTCGGGCTGGGATCCCGTCCCCGCGCCGAGCGACTCCGCGACCCCTCACGTGAGAGGCTCCCCTGCAGGGGAACCTTGTCGGCGGCCGCAGCACGCTCCCGCGCGCGCGCTTCCAGCTGCGCATCCTCCAGATCCGCGAGGGCGCGCTCTAGGTCGGACCCCAGTGGGCCCGCCGCTGCCACCTGTGCGACCCTCCGCCGCAGCTGCCGCTCCGCCTGATCAAGCGGAACCCCGAGCAGGTCCGCGGCCATACCTAATGCACTGAGAGCCGCCGCTTGGCCCCCCCGTCCTTTGAGATCCTCGGCTCGCAAGGAGTCCATGAACATTTCGAGCGGGTCGGGCTCCTCGGCGTCCTCGCTCACGCCGGCGGCGGCCGCCGCTAAGCGCGACAGTGCCGCCACGGGGGCGGGGCGGGGCAAGCCCTCCATCCCGGGCGCAGGCGGCGCCCCCTGCGCGCCACCCCGCCGATGGTGGCCGAGTGTGCGTACAGGGTCGTGCTGCAGCTGCTGGCGCTCCGTGTTCGTCAGGTAGCGCCGCCTCCAGCCGCTCGCGCTTTCCACGTCCACACCGCCCCACTGCTCCTGGCGTAACATCGCCAGCAGATCCTGCGGGATGTGGTGGGCGATGACACGCAACCCCACTTCCCGAGCCCCTTGGGGGACCTCGTACAGCAGCCGATTGATCCAATCTATCGGGTAGCGCCCGTCCTCCAGCGGAGGGGGGTGCCGTACGACCTCGCTGGCTGGGACCTCCACCCTGACGCCCTCGAGGCTAGTCCCGATGATAAGTCTGGCGTCCCCGCCAGTGCCCCGTGCGTCGAGCCCCTCGCATTCTCCCAATAGAATAAACCAAGGACTCGCCGGGGGCGCGCCGTGCGCCTCCTCGGCTCCCCGAGGGTCGCCCGGGAGTATCGGGCAGACCTTCACGAGTAGGGGCTCCTGAAGCCACCCGTGGTGGGCGATCCGATCGCCCGGGGCCCCGCGGTCGGCAGACCGTGAGCGTCCGCTGGCCCTAGCTTCCGCGGAGCGTGTGCGACGCGGCTGCGGCCCCGAGGTTAGGGCCTGCGCCCCCGTGGGCTCCACATCGACAGATGGGGCCACGGCGGGCGGTGGCGGTGCAGCGGGGGGAGGTAGAGGCGGGGGGTAGACCGGCTCGGCCGCAATGCCAACCCCATCGGCAGCGTGCGCGGTCCAATCGCGCACCCTGGCGGGGCTTGGAGCCCGCGCCCGCATGCGGCGGCGCAGGCCCCCGAGGATCCCAGGTTGGACCGTCGCCTCGACGCGCACGGTGTGACCCTCGTCCCGTCGGAGATGTTCCCCGCACATCGGGCCCCCCCCGCAGCTACCCTTCGCCATGCGGAGACAAGTGGGGAGGCTGCACTTGCGGCCGATCAGGGTAGACCGGTACTTCTGCGCATGGTGGGCGCAGAGGTGCACCTGTGCATTGAGACAATGCCCAGGCCGAGGAACGTCCGACACCTCCGCGTCCTCCTGTAGCAGGACAGTGGCCTCCTGCATCCCTCGGTCGCCGCACCCCTCCGGCTGGAGGGGGCGTGCGCCACCCGCGAGCTGCACCCCAACTTGTGCGGCTTGGCAGGGGCGCTCCTCCGCCTCCACCTCGCTCTCCGAGTCGATGTCCAGGCGGCGATAGCCCGTGGCGTCGGTGATGTAGCGGGGCTCCGGCCGGCCCCGGCACAGCCATCCGAGTACCGACCAGGGTGAGCAAAGCAGCCACTTGACGACCCCGAATACCTTCCGGAGTCCCACGCCGACTGCTCGGCAGGCCGTGGCCCTTCCGTGCTCAGCCAAGTCCACGATCTGTGTGTGGTCAATGGCCGCGTACTGGTCGACGTGCATGGGATGCGCCACTGGACAGGAGGCGCACTCGACAGCACGACATAGATGCACATTCCCTGTCTCCTCGAGGTTCAGCCGCCACTTGCGACTGGTGCACCCCAGGACCTGCCCGATCTTGATGTTGAGCCCGTGGCGGTCCAATCGGTACCGGTCCGCGAAGTTGCAGCTGATGCGGGCCACCTGCCCGTGCTTACGCAGCAGCACGTGGTTGTACGCCCGATTGGTCCCTCGGCCGCGGACCCCCTTTGTGTAGAACTCTGTCTCCACCACGCCGCCCAAGCCCGGCCCGCGCCAGCGCACCAGCAAGGGGGTCGGAGGGGGTGGGGGAAGATGGGCGCCAGGCCCATCCCCTCCGCGTCGCTGGCAGCACCGGGTAATCTGGTACCACGCCCAGCGGAGTCCCCCGGCAGCCCACAGCATAGGCTGGGCTGCGGTGTTGACGATGAAGGCCAGGGCACCCAACACGAACGTGAAGATGCCTAGGGCAAAGCATAAGACCGCGGTCTCCCACCAATACCCAAGCATCTTGACGCCCAGGCGGTCGACGGCGGATCCAAACCATCCGCCACTCGTGCGGATCGTGCCCGGGTGGTCGGGGGAGCTTACCCACGCTCCATAGCCCGCGACCTCGAAGACCCAGGCTGCGAAGCCCCAACCGGGACCCGGCCCTGCCTCCGGGGGCGGTGTAGGTGGCGGCGGCGGCGGTGGGGGTTCGCTCCGGCCAGCCCACCAATGGGGCAGGTGCGGGACCCAACCACTCCACCCCCAATACCCGTCCGGCCCACGCGGCAGGTCAGGCTCACCATCGCCCGTCCGGTTTCCCGGGGCGGACGGCTGCCCAGGCGCGCCCGTGGGCTCGTTGTTACCTCCGTATGCCGGCGTAGCTGGGCTGCCTGTGGGCTCGCCCTCGCCTACGCGCCCGATGCCCGCGGTCGTGGTCGTTGTGGTCGACCCTGACCGCGGCGGCGGTGGGACGCCCGGCGTCCCCGGGGGCTTGGCCTGCGGCCCTCGCCCCTTTCCCCCTGCAGGCGCGGGCTTGGCGGGCGGTCCTCGCCCCTTGCCTCGCCCCCCACCGCCTGCCGGCGGCGCTGTCGGCCCGGGCAGGGCTGGCGGCGTCGGCGCTGGGACCTCATGTCCCCCGCGCCCGAACGGCAGCCAGCCAAGTGCCCCTTGGACCGTAAGAGCGCCGCCCGTAACCAAGATCATCAGGTGCGCCCCCAGGAAGCCCACAGCCATGGCACCACAGGCGCGCTACCTAGTCCGCGGACTAGCACGGCTGTGGTTATGGCCGCCCCGCGGCCCCCTGGAACACCCGCGCGTCGGCCAGAGCCGAACGCTACGGACCCAAAATGGCTACCTGAGCCCACACCCCCTCCCACTTAACCTGCAGTCTACAACCAATCAGACTATACAAAACGCAGCCCGAGGCTGGAAAGATTCACCGAGCACCGACGAACACGCCCCCGAAGCCTCGAGCCTCGAACCCGAAACTCCCCCTACATGCGGAGCGCGGGTGAGGGGGCGACCCTGGGGAAACCAAAAGGTACCCATACCACTACTCCCTGGACCTCTCACGGGGTGCGTTGTGAACAAAATGTTCAAGCGAACCCTGCGGTGATGACGAGGGCCTCTCATGAGGCCCCAAAAAGGGAAAGCGAGGGCAAATGGTAGCGGTATCGGTACCTCGTCGTCCTCCGAGACCTGGCCACGCGCCAGCAGAGCCGCCACTGGGCAGGAGCGACGCCTGGCGCACGGGTCTCGGGACCTCCGAGCCTCCGAGGGCCCATGCGCGCAGGCCACTGCTGGCGCGCCGCGCAGCATGCACCCGGGGGCTTCCCCTGTGGGCCCGCACAGAGGGCCACTCCCTGGCCATCCGACGATGAGAGCGACGGAGAGAAACGGGTCTTGCGCGAGATGACGTGGCGGCCTCACGCGGTGGCGTGCGCGGGCCGCCAGCAAGGCACGCTACATTGGAAACGAGGGCGCTTAGTTGCGCGCGACACTACGCGGGAAGCCTACGCGCGAATGTCGGCCAGTCGACCCCGTGTTTTTCCGCCGCCGATGTGTTTGTCTCGACGCGCGCCCCCAGCCCAGAGATTCCACGCACTGGAAAAATCAAGCCGGAAATTTGTCGGCCTCTGGAGGCCCTCGCCAAGCCCTGGGGCCGTGAAAACATGATTCGGGACGAGAAGCCGGCCTCTGGGAGCGGGTCAAGACTTCCGGGGACGCCGTTTAAAAAAGGTCGGGCATCGGATCTCCAAGGAGGTCCAGACCCTTTCCCCGGGGCAACTTTTTCGCCCCAGATCCATCTCTGATGGCCCCGGGGCCCGACAACGGGCCCAAATCGAGAACAGCACGCCCGTTGAGAACAGTCACCTCCCCGGAGATCTGGGTCCGGCGAAGGGGCCCCTCCGACCGTGCGCAGGCGGCATCAACAAGTTCATCAGCATCAGCATCTACAGCATCGACATCTACATCTGCAGCATCGACATCAGCATCGCCATCAGCATCAACATCAGCATCAAGATCCTCGGCATCGGCATCTGCATCCTCACCAGCACCGCCACCATCCGTATCGTCGCAGACATCCCCGCCACCGCCAGCACCCTCACCGCCACCACCCTCAGCATCACCGCCACCAGCATTCGCATCAGCGAGTCCGGGGGTCGGGTGGCCGCGCGCGGCCGGAGGGGCGGGCCACGGGCACGCCGGCAAGAACGCTGCCTGCGAGCCCCTTCTCGCCAGCTCGCTTCTCGCCAGCTTAGGCTACACGTAAGAGCGGCGCCGGGCAAGAGCAACCTTTTGCGCGCGACTTCCGGGGGACGCGGGGAGGCGGGCTCGCGCGCAAGCCGCTGCTGCTGCATCGCATTCGGCCATCTCTGGGCCCCAGTGTGCCCGCACGAAAGGCCCCGGCGGCGAAAGGTCACTCTTACGTCAAGCCGAGCCCGGTTGATCTCGGCCAGTCCCCGGGGCCTTGCCGGTGTCGGTGCAGGGCGCCTCGAAGCACCTCGGCTGCGCACCCCGCGCACACCCGTGACGGCAGTGCCCGCCAGCTGGCCCCAGGGGCGAGGAGGGGCCCACCCTGCATTGTGGCGTCGAGGAGGCAGGAGGGCGCGCGGAGGGAGGATTGGGAGGTCGAGGAGGGAGTACGGAGGAAGGATGAAGGAGGAGGAGGAGGAGGAAGAGGAGGAGGAGAAGAGGAGGAGGAGGGAGGAACGAGGAGGGAGGAAGAGGAGGAGGATCGTCTCGGATGTAACCTTAGGCCGCGGATCAGGCTAACTCACCTGACCGATGTGAAAGACCTGCCGCGCGGCCTAAAGTGGGGGTCGGCGGACAGCGACGATACTAAGGTGCCTGGTGGGGAGCACCGATCGATACTCCACCTCGCGATCGCATTCGCTGGCCGCCGCCACCTTCTCACCCATGCCCACGTGCGATCCTGTCGAATCAGGGCTCCTACAGGGTGGCATCCCAGGTCGGGGAAGCGAACTTGCCGCGGCAGTGGTCCGCATTATGATGAGCCTTGGGCCGTCCACTGCCCAGCTGTTCCCCTCAGGGGAGCGGATGGGCCCCAAATGGGTCCGCGCGCGTCCCTGCCGCTGAATTGAGGCGTGTGTGTTCGCAGGGGCGTGCCATGCCAAAGCATGGAGGGTGCACCTGGAGGGGATCAATCCCCAGCATGACGGGCACCCGCATCAGGTGCACCGGGCCTGCCTGCCTGGTGCCAACGCATGCAAGTCCATCGCGCTGCGAGCATCCCTGATTGATATGTTTTTTTCTTGCAGGGCTCGAGTATGTGTATCATGCACTGATATATGACAGCAGGGCGGGGCAACCGTCTGCTAACGAAATTGTCCCCCTAGCCTACCGTAGGAGCAGGCAGACGCTCGAATCTGCTATCCCACTTAATGGGATTATTAGCCTCGCATGTGCTGTCTCCCGCTGCCGGCTGCTACCCGCGCCTCGGGGGTATTCCGTGACACCCAGAGCGGGCGGACAAATCATACCCCCCCCTCGAGAACACGAGGGCGGAAACCGTAACAACGCAGATTCTGGATGATACGAAACTGGGGGAAACTGTATCCCTCCCTTGTTGCGGCGTCTACTGCCACTCGGACATTTGTGTTGTCGTGCATGGCTGAATGGCGTTAGACACGGCCTAGCAAGGCCTTGCCCCGGAGCCCGAAAACGGGCAGGAAGCGCAATTATCTTTACACCCCGTGCTTCGACTAGGGACCGCCAGCGGTCCGCGACAGCCAGTTCCCCCGTTTTTGGGGGATGCCAGCCCGTCGGCTTTCGATGGGCTCTGACCTACAAGCAACCGCAACCTCAACAGCAAGCGGTTGCATTTGAGACGGGATTTATTCCTCACCTCACGCTCGCACTCCAGTGCCGGGTCAGAAGAACGACACGCTCAGGGAGCTCAGGAAGAGGAGGAGGAGGAGGCAGGAAGAGGAAGAAGGAACGAGGGAGAAGGAGAAGGGAGGATTAGCAAGCTGGCATATGCTTAAGGGGTATCTGAACTCATCTGGGGATGAAGTGGTCATCGGCGGAATACTGGAGACTGTTGGGCAACTTACGGGCGAGTCAATTACCCCAATAGTTGGACGACCACGGGCCACGTTCTGAAAGTAATCGGGATTGCCGAAACCAAAGCAAGAGGGAGGCGGAGGGGGAGGCGTAGGAGGCCCTCCTGCGCCTTCCGTCCTCTCCTGCCCCCTCCTCCCTCATGGTCCTCCCCTTCCTCCTCCTCCTCCTCCTCCTTCACCTACCCCTCCTCCTCCCCTCCTCCTCCTCCTCATCCTTCACCTACCCCTCCTCCTCCCCTCCTCCTCCTCCTCCTCCTCCTCCTCCTCCCTCATGGTTCATCTTCCCCTCCCCCTTCCGCTCCGAAAGGGGTGACAAAGACGAAAGGGCGGACGAGCGCAGAAAGAAAGAGAGGGAGAGAGAGGGGGAGGTAGAGAAAGAGAGAGAAAGGTTAATACGCAAGCACACAAAAGACAGCAAGAGAGGAAGAGGGGGGATCTAGAGATATTATGCATGACGCGAATATAGCATATTCCTATACGCTCTTGTGTATATATATACATACTCCCCAATCAGAGCTTGCCTCTGTAGGGGTCCTAGCGGATTCATATGGTTAGGTTAGGTTTGCCGCCGATTTTCGCGGAACGCCCGGGTGCCCGGGTGTCCGGGGGTGCCCGGGTGTCCGGGTGCCCGGGGGCCCGGGGGGTGCCCGGGGGTCCCGGGTGCCCGGGTGCCCGGGTGCCCGGGTGCCCGGGCGTGCCCGGGAGTGTCCGGGGGTGCCAGGGGGTGCCCTATAGCCCTATAGCCCAATAGCCCAATAGCCCTATAGCCCTGCAACTCTATCGGAGGTGAGGGAAAGAGATCGAAGTGGAACGGAGAGCCCCCCTACCGGGAAATCGGTTTCGGCTTCGTGTTCGTGCGTGCCGTGCGTGCGGGCGAGGCGAAGCTGCGTGGGCGGGCGAGAAGAAAGTCTTCTTCTCCGGCTGAGGCGCGGCCGGACCAAGTGATTCCTTTCCGAGGGCGGGTGGCCCGCGGTGCCCCGCCGGTGTCCCGCCGGTGTCCCGCCGGTGTCCCGCTGGTGTCCCGTCGGTGTCCCGACGACGATGATGATGATGATGATGGTGATGATGATAATAATGATGATGTCTATGATGTTGATGATGATGATGGTGGTGATGATGATGCTGTCTCGATGATGGTGATGATGGTGGTGATGATGATGGTGATGATGATGGTGATGGTGGTGATGATGGTGTCCCGATGATGATGATGATGTTGGTGATGATGTTGCTGATGATGGTGATTAGGGTGTCCCGATAATGATGATGGTGTTGACGACCCTCATAATGTTGATGATGATGAGATGATGCTGAGACGTTGATGATGATGCTGGTTTCCCGATGATGATGAGGTTGATGATGATGCTGTTGGTAATGATGGTGATGATGATGGTATCCCGATGATGACGATGATGATGACGGTGATAGTCTCCGGATGATGATGTTGATGATGAGGATGATGATGAGGTGATGATGCTGATTTTGATGATGATGGCCCGATGATGATGCTGATTTCGATAATGATGGTGTCCCCATGATGATGATGATGATGATGATGATGATGATGATGATGATAACGATGATGATGATGGTGGCGATGATGATGGTGTCCCGATGGTGATGGTGATGATGTTGATGATGTTGTTGGTAATGATGATGGTGTCCAGATGACGATGATGCTGGCGATGTTGTTCATGATGAAGATGCGATGATGATGATGATGATCATGATGATGATGATGATGGTTGTGTTCCGATGATGATGATGATAATGATGATGATGGTTTCCCGATGATGATGAAGATCTTGACGATGATGATGGTGACGATGATGGTGCCCCGGTGATGATGATGATGATGGTGATGACGATTATGTTGATGATGATGGTGATGAGGTGATGATGATGGTATCCCAATGATGGTGATGATGATGAGGATGATGATGATGATGATGATGATGATGATGATGTTGATGACGTTGATGACGATGATGTTGATGATGATGACGTTGATTGTGATATCGATTGTGATATCGATAGCGAGATCGGTAACGACACCGAATGTGAGATCGATTGTGACATCGAGAGTGAGATGGATAGTGAGATCGACTGTGAGATCGATAGTCATTTCGATTGTGAGAACGATCGAATGAAATAGATCGAGTGAGATCGATTGTGAGATCGACCGAGTGAGATCGATCGAGCGAGACCGATAGTGAGATCGATTGTGAGATCGATAGTGAGACCGATCGAGTGAGACGTTTGTTCCTCCCCCCCCGAACCTCCTTATCACCCGAAGGGTGTTCGTATAGGTAGCCCTATAGCTCTATAGCCCTATAGCGCAATAGCCCTATAGCCCTTTAGCCCCCTAGCCCTATAGCCCTGATCGGGTTTTTTCTCCGGTATCATATATATACACACATATGTGTAGGCGTACACAAATGCAACCATATAGCGGAAAGGTGCGCCGACGGGTGTAATATGGCACGTCGTGCTTTTGCGTGGTGCTTTTGCGTGATGTGTTGTGCGGAGTGTTTTCGTGTCATGCGTTTGCGTCGTATGTGTTGCTAAATGCTCGGCGTCACTTGGCATTGCTTTGCATTGCCTTGCATTGCTTGGCTCTGCTGCGCGTGCTTGGCATGCACATGCGTCGCTAAGCATTGCTTGGCGTGGCTTCAACAACAATCAAGCAACCAAACTATGGAACCCTGGAACCCAAGGAATGCTGACCTTCCGGAGCAGGAAGGAAACGGGAGCACTGTGACCCAGGGAACCAAAGGAACCCCGAGGAACGCGAGGAAGGGGATACGCGATATCATACTCTTTCTTATTCTCCTCCCCTCCCTATGCCTCTTTCTCTTGCTCCCCCTTCTCCTCCTCCACTTTCAACTTGTGGGCCCGTACAGCCGGACGCCGAGCGTGCGTCTTGGGCCGACGATTTCGACCGGGAACACGCCGAACTTGCCTACACTGCCGCCTCGGCCTTCGGGTTTGACGGTGTCGAGAACGATTCTGTGTTGGGGGACACAGTCGACACCGAGGACGCCACTGTGAAGACGCCACGCCCGCCAGTTCCGCCTCCGGCGGCATGGCATCTCTGCGGAAGCCCCTCACCGAGACTGAGTTAAAAGACACGCGGAGGGCCAAACGGTTCAAGAAGAAGCAGAGGGTGCAGGAGACGAAGGACATTCGGAAGTTGGAGCAGGACTTGATTACGTCGGCGACCGTCGGCGAATTTGAGGCCGTTCAAGAAGTAGCAGATGATGGTCAGTATGTTGTCGCTGGCTCTCGAGTGCACGATGGTGGTGATCTTCTCTACGGAGCTGGTGCTGTTCAAACACCTGGGGGAAGAAACGTGGTCGAACCCGCCTTTGGGACTGCCGCTGGTGGTTTGCCACGTGGTCCTGTCCGCGGCGGCGCAGCTGATGAAGCTGATCCTGAGGTGGTCCCTGGAGGCGCTGGAGCTTCCAGCGATGGCAGGGGCCTGTCGGTGCAGCCCTCGGACGACGGCCTTTGCTGGCGGATGCGGCCCGTGCTCGGCGACCAAGCGCAGCACGCGATGGCGCTGCCGTTCCAGCTGGAGGATGGCACGATCTCGCAGCACACGTTCAACGAACGGGTGCAGGAGCTCGTGAAGGCCTCGAGTCCATCGTGATTGGCCAGTGCTGCCGGCTTGGCCTACTTCGACTGGGAGCTGGTGTGGCTGAAACCTCTCTCCTCTGGGCATCCGATGTTCCACTTTTTGCCTGCCTGCCAGACGCTTCGTACAGCCTGTCTGTGCAGCCGTCCACAGCAAAACAAACTCCTCCATTTCCTCCTCCTCCTCCTCCACTTCCTCCTCCTCCTCCTCCACAACATCACCCGCGCTTCCATAATCGTCGGTATCCTTATCCCTACTGCCCATGCACCTCATCATCCTTCTTCTGCTGAAGAGCAGAGACGGCATACATGCTTGGGCATCGTTTCGCCACGCGCAAACGCTACGGTCGCCCGCGTCCCTCGCGAATGTCGCCCGGGTCCGCAGTGGGGCCGCTGTAGCAACGCAGGAGCGCCCCTGTGTCGGCACGCTACTCGAAAACACCATGTAAAAACACCACGCGTAGAAAGACAACACGCGCGCACAGACTGCGGTCGCCTGCGTCTCTCGCCAGCGTCACCAGTCCGCAGTCAGCGGGCCGCCAGAGCGCCGTAGGAGCGCCATGCGTGGGCGCTCTGCTCGAGAACACTGCGTTAATCGAGGTCAACGAATCCACCCCCATAATCATAACCACCCCGACACGCGAAGCCGTTTAGTAAACGCGCCCAGAAGAGGAATCGAACAGGACAGGGCCGTGTCGTAAACGCCCAGGGCCGTTCAGTAGACGCCGATTGTCGGGTCCGGGCGGTTCTTCCTCCCCTGAGTTTTAACGCGACGCAGGACGGGAAGCCACACGCGGAAACGCGACGGTCGCCCGCGTCTCTCGCGAGCGTCGCCCGAGCCCGCACGGGGGCGGGCCGCGGGAGCGCCGCCGGAGGGCCCCGCGTCGGCACGCTGCTCGAGACCACGGCGCACAAGAACGCACACGCTCGTGGACGGCGCGCGGCGTGCAGTCGGACTCGAGGGGACGGGACACGCGGGAGGGCACAAGACCCCTCCGAGGGCCATACAGTCGGGGCGTTGACATAAGGAACCCTCAATGAGGAACGAGGCCCCTTTTTGTCCGTAAGTTAACCTTCGACTTCCTGTCGAAGACATAAGGAAAGCCTGAGGCAAGCTGTGAAACACTTAAGGAACGCGGAGCCCCTCCCCAACGAAAAGGGTTCCTTCTTCAGGGCGCTGACTGTATTGCCACAGGAATGTAGGAAGCATGGGTCGCGGGACACAAGACACAAGGGTACCCTTGAATTGGCAGGGTCGACCTACTAATCTGGGCCGACTGTAAGTGCGAGGGAGTAGCCGGCCGGCATGGATGCGCCTGATCCAGTGGATGGAGCGGCCAGCAATGCGCTTCTGACCGGTCTGGGCACACCCTGTTCTTGCCGGTGTTGACATCCAAGGAGCGCCGAGAATCGAATCGATAAATCGGAGAGGCGATCGAAAGGAAGAGGGTCGGCGGAAATCGGCAGCAGAGTCGGGAGAAGTCGAATCGGCGGAAATCGGCAGGCAAGCAGGCCTCCATCCTGAAATAGTAAGTAATCCAAATCGGAATCCGAAATCGAATCGAATCCGAGTCGGAAGCCATCGAAATCGAATCGAATCGAATCGGAGGAATCGAAACGAACCCTGTATACTTTTCCAGCCTGTCTGGTGCACCATCAGGTTGGCCGCGGCCGGGTAAGTTCTCCGACGCTGCGTGGTCCGTTCCCGTCGCTGCGACACAGAGGGTTGTTGTTGTTGTTGTTGTTGTTGTTGTTGTTTCTGCCCCAGCTGACCTGCTAGGAAGGCTGCTGGCGCCTACTGTGGGGCTGAAGGCTGGGGTCCCCAAGACTCTTTGTCTCTGTCAGACTGGTGGCCTTTGATCACGCCGCTGCCCGATCTGACTTCGGGCGCAATTGTGTTCATGGAGCTTTGGTGTGCTCTTCCAGCAGAGTCCAGCACAATCGACCCGCCTCCTCGATCCCCTCCCCACTTTCCTCCTTCTCCTCCACCTTTTCCTGCTTGGGGAGTGGCGAGGACCAGTCTGGCAGACGGGACTGGGGCTCCAGAGATCCCGGCAGCGCAAGGGCACCTCTTGTCCCCGACCATGGTGAAGTCACCAACGGGAAGCACTCCAAGAAAGCTCAGGCAGCTCTGCATGTAGTAGTCTTCGCCCCATCCATGCCACTTCAGCTCATCAGTACAACGCTTGTGGCCGTCTTGGTATGCCTGAACGGCCTGCTTGCTGAAGACCTCGAGCGCCCCGAAGAGCTTCTCTTTGAAGACCTCGTCATCCGGATCTGCCGTGTACCGCTTGTTGCAATTGACGAGGTAGTAATTCCCACCCCCTGGAGGCGTGTAAGGCCTGACATGATCCCGAAGCCTCTCGGGGAAGAATACGGCGTCAGGGTCAACTTTTACCGTCCAGTCGTAGCCCTTCCAGCGCCCGTCCTTCACTAGCCAGTGCCAGACCTCGATGAAGACGGCCGTGTTGAGCCACGAGTTGGTGGTCTCCCCCTCCACGCCCAGGTTGCCCATCCTGGGCAGGTCAGAATCCCCCCCCCCCCCTGACGCCTCGCGGCAGCGTGTCCGCGCCGGCTGTCCCACGCCTCCCCCCCCCCTGCTGGGCAGTCACCGGCCCTGCGTGCGCCTGTATCCGCCGCCGTGCCGACGGCACGTGGTGGAGTGCCCTCAGGCCCGGGGGGGGGGGCCTACCGGGACGCCGGAACACACGTGCGGCTGGACGAACGTGTGGAACGCACGCGGAGGCCACGCGCTGGGTACACGTGCGGAGGGCCAGCGTACCCAGCCGCAGAGGGCCGAGCGCCGGAAGGGCATGCAGCCACGATGTGTGCATCCAGCCATCGCCGGGGCCAGCCACGTCACGTGGTGTCAAGCTTGCTGGCAGCACTGAACGCTCGAGGGTCCCGACCCCCGATTCCCGACCCCCGATTCCCGGACCCTTGAGGGTCCCGACGCCCGATTCCCGGACGCCCTCAGGCGCTCTCGGGGCTCGTCTCGCGCGTGTCCCGACCCAGCGGGGCCGCGGTCGGGCATCCGAATCCACAGCATGCTCCGAGGATGGCCCCAGACACGTGTCTGCCCGCCCTCTTGGGGCTCCATCGAACCGTCCCTGGAGGCCCTGGGAGGCAGCTCAAGAGGCGGCTCTCTCACGCATGCTGGGCCTCAGGGTGACTTCGAATCTGTGGTGAGCCTGAGGCCGCCAGCGCCGCACGGGAAGTTCGTCGTGTTCTGAGCGTGCCTCTTCCTGCCTCCTCCTCCTCCTCCTCCTCCTCCTCCTCCTCTTGCGCGGCCCGCCCTAGCCCGAACGAGGTGTGACCCAGGTCGAAGTCCCCCTGCCCCCCCCGCCCACTCGGCGAAAATGCGGAGTCTCCCGAAAAGCCTTGACCGCCAACGAGAGCACATCGGGAAACGCCTCCTCGCCCACCTGCCGTGAGCCACACTCGCTGCGACAACAAAAACGCTCGGCCACAAGAGCGCCCACGAGACCCACGACGCCCCCAGGATCGCCCCGACACGGCCCCCGACGCCCCCACGAGGGGACCCGAAAGGGGAACCCGAGCGGACCGTTGGGGGACATGGTGCAGCGTCCGCCACTGCAGACGGCCTGAAGACGCCCAGGAAGTTCCCCGGGTGCACCGCAGACGTTCCCTGAGAGCACCCCCTGAATGGGCACAGACCCCCTCAAGTAGCTTCCGCGAGGCATCTGAAGAACTCCCTCCAGGCCAGCTCCCTGGAGGTCCAAATCTCCGCACTCCCGGTCGTGCTCCCTGGAGCCCTCCGCCCAAGGAGCGCCCCAAGACGGCCCCGAGATGACCCCCGCAGAAGGCCCGACAAAGCTCCCAAGAGAGGCCCAAGGCCCAGGGCAACCCCGTGGCCGTATGTGGGTCTCCTCCTCCCGTGACCGTGGGGGGGTGGGGCGGAGAAGGGGGAGGGGGCGGGTCACGTCACTAATGGCTCATTCCCACACGGCGCTGTCGCGAATCGTGGCGTGACCAGGGGAGGGGGAGGGGGGGGGGGGCAGGGCCGATAACGGGCGTTATCGCGAATCCGCCGACCCCTTGCGGGTCTCGAAGCGTGTGAGATTGTTCCCCCCCCGTAACCCCCCCCTGGGGACTCCAAACCGGAGATTTGACCCCCCCCCGGACCCCCCCCCTGGCCCGGCGCGAGCCACTCACGGGGCTCTTCCGGGCCCAAGAGGGCCCAAAGACGGGCCAAAAAGGCCCCAAGAGGCCTCCAAGACGGCCCACGAGGGCCCCAAGACGCCAAACAAACGCTCAAAGACGCCCACGATGGCTCCAAGACGGGCCAAGAGGCCTCGAAAATGCCCCAAGAAGCCTCCAAAAGGCCTCCCAAGGGGGGCTGAAAAGCCAAAAACATTGATTTTTCAATTGTTTTTCAATGAATTTTGGGCTTTCGCGTTTTCCGCTTCCCGACGCCCCAAGACGGCCCCGGAGGCCCCGAAGACAGCCCGAAGACGGCCCAAGAGGCCTCCAAGATGGCCCCAAGACGGCCCAAGAGGGCCCCAAGACGGCCCAAGAGGCGCCCAAGACGGCCCAAGAGGGCCCCAAGACGGGCCCAAGAGGGCGCCAAGAGGGGGGGAAAAAAACTCATTTCGAGCCCTCGGCCCCCAGACGCCCCCGGGAAGCCCAAACTGGCCCCCCAAGAGGCCCCCAAAAAGCCCCAAGCATGCCCCAAGAGGCCCAAAACAGGCCCCAAGAGGCCCCAAAACTGCCCCCAAACGGTCTCCAAAGTGCGGGCGGTACCACTTGAGGCATACGGACGACGCACCTCGCGTGGTACTTGGTTGGTACCACTTGACACTTGAGGTCTCCGAGAGACCGACCACGAGATCCCAAAGAACACTCCAGAGGCCTCTGACTCACAACCCAGGCATGGTGGCGGGATTGGCGGGACGGGCCTCAGGCCATTCGAGAAAAACCCCTCTCAGGATCCACGACAAGATTCTCACTTGTCCTCGTCGTCTTCTTCCTCCTCCCCCTCCTGCTCCTCCTCCTTCTCCTCCCCCGTCGTCTCCCCCTCCTGCTTTGTTCCTCCCTACTGTCCACAGCATTCGCGCGCTGCCAGACGCGCTGCAACGCCTTCGTGGAAGCCCCCCAGAAGCTCCGAATCGGCCCCCAAGTGGCTTCATCACTGCGTTCCAGGGGCCCCCGAGAGGCGTGCCGCGAGATCCCTATACACATACTTGAAGCCTCTAACCCATAACCCATGACCCAGAACCTTGTCTCCGTGTCCCCCTCCTCCTCCTCCCCGGCCTCCTCCATCCCCATACACATACCACAAGCCTCTACCCCACAACCCATAACCGAGAGCCTCATCTCAGTGCCCCCTCCCCTCCTCTTCCTCCCCCACCTCCTCGTCGTCCCCCTCCTCCTCTTCCTGCCCCGCTTCACCTCGCCCTCTTCGATGCTTCTCCCCCCCATTTTCCGCCTCACCCCCCGCCCTTCTCTCCCCGTCCTCCTTTTTCTCCCCAGCACGCGCGCCCGATTGGCCATCATTTGCATGTCTTGCACTTCGGGGTGCCCTTCTTTGCGTCGCGCGGGACATTGTGCGGATCGGGGAACGCCGACTTCGGCAGTCTTCTCTTGCATGCGCCGCTGCACTGATACGCCTGGCAACTGCGCGCGGTGAACCCGCGTGTTGTGCAGTCTCCGCACACGACTTTGAGTTATGTCGCCTTTCGATGATGTTCCTTTTGCGTCTGTTTCAAATGTTTCGTGTCTGAGAACGCTCCTCCGCACGCCGCGCACGTCAGCGGTTTCGCATCCACCTCGGCTTTCCGTTCCTATTATTCGACTCGAGCGTCGTCCTCTGACGTTCTTCCGCGCACCTCTGACACAGCCTCTCCCCCGCTGCTTTGTGCTTCTGCTGTGCATCGGACATATCTGCCTCCTCTTGGAAAAGCGACAGACATTTCTCGTTCGAGCAACGCACCTTGCGTTTCCTGTTATTCGGCTCGCGCGTCGTCCTCTCTCGTTCTTCCGCGCACCTCTGACAGAGCCTCTCCCCTGCTGCTTTGTGCTTCTTTTGAGCTACCAACATGTCCGCCTCCTCTGGCAATAGCGACGGACAGCCGTCATTCGAACAGCGCACTTTGCCCGCGCTCTCGGCCCACTTGGCGTTGGCACGGCGCGACTTCTGCTGCCCCTTCACATTGCTGCATTTGACACAGTACATGGTCCGAACTTTTTTGGCGTCGTCCCCATCGCGAACCCTCGCCGCGCCCTCATCGTCGCCCCTCCGTGCGCCTTCGTCGCCGTGAGTCTTCGTTGCCCACGTGTCACACGTTTTGCACCATTTCTCGTCCAGGCTCTTCATCTCTTCCGTGCACTCTTTACAGAAGGCCAGTCTCTCCTTCCGCTGGAACTCGTACTTCGTGAACGCCGCCATTAGCAGCCGACGTCGGCAACGCCCGCGCTGATCGCGCGGCATCAGCTTCGCCCCCCACTCCCCCCAATCCACAGCGTCGCCGCGTAGCACCTGCAACGGCATCTGCGCGCCGGGCACCCCCCCCTCGTTGTGCGGCTTCCTGTCGAAAGGCCTGAAGATAAGTAAGTTCTTCCGTCTCCTCACCTGGGTAATCGCCGCGTAACTGGACATCCAACTTACGCCGCGCCCTCCTTCCAGATCCGCTATCACTGCGCCCAACGTCCGCCCTTGCGCGGCGTGCGCTGTGATTGCTAACGCTGGCGTAATCATGAACTGCGTGCGCTTCACCCCCAACGCCGGGTGCTTCCGATGCCCGCCCAAGAACCACTGGCGCCCCTTCGATGGAACAATTGGATACAGTCCCGGCCCCCACCCGGGCAAGTGCCATTTCTTCGTGTGGAAGTCCAACACTATGACTCTTGGCAAGTGCGACAACACTTCTTCTTCGTCTCCCACGACTTCGCCCTCGTGCAAGCCCCGCCCATGAATCGTCGCGTGGCTTCCCCGCAGCAGCTGCTTCTTCGACCTGTCCAAGTGATCTCCTAAGGCCACGGGCATCCCCTTAGCCAACGGCAGCCACCCCAGCAAGCTCACGCACTCCTTGTCGTGATAACCTAGCCACCGTATCCTGTCCTCCACGGTGCACGGGCGTCTCTGCCCCCCCCCATGGCACGGGCGATCTCTCGCCGCGACCCATAGCAATTGCTTTCCGTGTTCCGTCGCCCACTGCACAGCACTTTGCTTCCCGACGTGGCACCGAATGTCCTGATTGGCATAGATCGCCACGGCTTCCACGAATTTCTCTTCCCGAAATCGCGGGTCTACCGGCGACGTCGCCGCGAGTTTCCTCTTCCCTCGCTCCACTGTGCACACCGCGCATTCCATGTTATTGTCTCTGCCAATTTCCTCTGATTTATCTCGACGCTGCGAGTTTCCGCATTGCGACGCGCCGTTCGCCCGCGATCCTGGCGCGTCCGTCGGCCGTCCGCGCACTTGCGCTCTGTCAGCCCTGTCATTCCTTGCGCTGCCCCTGCGCCTCCCCTTCCCCGGAAGATATGCTGACCGTGG